TCCATCCATCCATCCATCCATCCATCCATCCATCCATCCATCCATCCATCCATCCATCCATCCATCCATCTATTGGCCAACTTGTATATTTAACTGATTTCACTGCAATGAACATGACATTTCATAGAAATCCAGGTATTGACTCAGCTGGGATGGCATAAAATCCTTCTTTTATATGGTGAACAGGCAAATGACAGGGTAGATGAATGAATTCATTTATTTACTGCATCAAAGCACTTGACCTCTGCTACAGTAGCAGCCATTCAAAATGGCCTTTCCCAGTCAAACGTCAGTCGAAAGGCAGCCCACATTCCTCCAACTACCATCAAAATCCTCTCCAACTTCCAGCCACTGGAGTGACCTCCTCCATCTCCTGGGTGTGCATATTTTTCTACTCAGACTGGATTACAGGGTCTGACCAGGAGATGATGCTTCTCTTTAGATCTTAATCTCCACAAATCATGACAGAAAAATATTTTAGTTCAAAGATTTGATGTTTTGAAAAGGAATTTTAGGGGATCAGCCAAGGACTAGCCTATAGCCCATCAAGGAAAGTAGTGAAATTTTGAACGGCTACTACAGTGGCTTATTTGTTTTTTAGAGAACAAAACCATTTTTTGATTAGAGTTTCTTTTTCTTATGTTTTTCGCCTTAAAACTGCTATGAAATTGGAGAGATTTTCATTGATATTTTTGTCCTTTTTGGATACTTTTGCTGACCACAGCATCCATAGCAAGTTGTTTTTTTTTTTACTCCTGGGAGCAGCTCTTTAACATCACTAACGCTATAATATTACATCAACTACGTCCACAAGTACCAGCTGAGTTGAAAAGGAGGTGCCAGGGATGTTAAACAGGATGAAGGAGATCAAGGACATCATGGGCAATGTCAGATATTTAGGAAACAAATTAGAAGACCCCCAAGCCCTTGCAAGGACCCAGCCAGTATATTGGCAATGTGTCTTACTGAAAAGTGGCAGCAGGATCACATCTTGGACTCAAGCTTCTCTCTGCCAGGTTTTCTGGCAGAGATTTAAAGAAGACTGGGAAATTCAAAGGGGTTGAGTTGGCAGTGTTTGTGAACAACAAATCAGTCATGCAGGACATGTTACTGTGAAGATTTGTCACTGTAGCCCAGATGTTGAACTGTTGACATTTGGTTTTCAGCTATATTATTAGCCTAGAGAGTTCAGCAGTGTTCTGTTGGTAACATTTATATTCCACTTTCTGACATTGCCGGTGCTCCATGTGATGTTATAATTTCAGTTGTTTCTAAGTTTCCAACAGTTTTTAAGCTGCTGTGCCAGAGAAAACAGAACTGAGGTCTTGTTTTATGCAAATATAAAAGAATCCTACATCTCTAAAGTGAGACCTCCTTTTGGGAAATCATATTACAATCTTGTTTTTCTCTGCTCAGATTATAACCGACTTTATAAGAGACACCCTGCATTAAAAATTACTGTAAGGAGATGGTCAAAGGAAGCTGAAGAAGCCCTGCAAGGTTGTTTAGAGGCAACAGATTGGGATGCATTGGGTCAGCCACATGGAGAGGACGTCAATGCAATGACTGCAATGACTGTGTTCAGGAACAAGTTGAAACCTATTAACATCATGGGAGAAAAAGTGGAGGTACACTACCGTTCAAGAGTTTGGGTGACCCAAACAATTTTGTGTTTTCCTGAAAAGTCACACTTATTCACCACGATACATTGTGAAATGAATACAAAATAGAGTCAAGACATTGACAAGGACGGAAATAACTATTTGTATTTGAAATAAGATTTTTTTTTACATCAAACTTTCATCAAAGAATCCTCCATTTGCAGCAATTACAGCATTGCAGACCTTTGGCATTTAGCTGTTAATTTGTTGAGGTAATCTGGAGAAATTGTACCCCACGCTTCCAGAATCAGCTCCCACAAGTTGGATTGGTTGGATGGGTACTTCTTGCCTACCATACGGTCAAGCTGCTCCCGCAACAGCTCAATGGGGTTCAGATCTGGTGACTGCGCTGGCCACTCCATTGCCGATGGAATACCAGCTGCCTGCTTCTGCTCTAAATAGTTCTTGCACAATTTGGAGGTTTGTTTAGGGTCATTTTCCTGTTGTAGGATGAAATTGGAAAATGCAAAATTGAGTGATAGCCTTCCTTATTTAGAATCCCTTTTACCCTGTACAAATCTCCCACCTTACCAGCACCAAAGCAACACCAGACATCGCATTACCTCCACCATGCTTAAAAGATGGCGTCGGGCATTCTTCCAGCATCTTTTCATTTGTTCTGCGTCTCACAAACGTTCTTCTTTGTGATCCAAACACCTCAAACTTGTCCGACCTCATCCATTCACAACACTTTTTTTCCAGTCTTCCTCTGTCCAATGTCTGTGTTCTTTTGCTCATCTTAATCTCTTTCTTTTATTGGCCAGTCTCAGAAATGGCTTTTTCTTTGCCACTCTGCCCTGAAGCCCAGAATCCCGCAGCCGCCTCTTCACTGCAGATGTTGACACTGGTGTTTTGCGGGTACTATTTGATGAAGATGCCAGTTGGGGACCTGTGAGGCTTCTGTTTCTCAAACTACCCTACAACACCTGTAACATAATGTATGAGTTGCTGCAACATTCAATTTACCTTTTTGATAAATAAATTATTTTTTATTTGAATTAAACAGATTTTTTCCAAGCCGCTCATCATCCGCCGACAGTGGATATGAAGCTGCTGGTTGCTTAATATCTCATGGCCCTATCTCAGCAGTGCATTTGCCTATTGTCAGGGGAGTGTTGGCTAAGTGGTTAGAGCAGTGTGCTTATACCCTTAGTAGGTTGTAAGTAAGTAACTGTATAAAGATGAAAAAAAAATATGCAAACATGACTTTGTAGTTTGAAATGTAGGTAGAATACTTTAATCAATCAATTTAAGAATATACAGTCCATTTATAAAGATGCAAAATACCATTTAAATGTATTATATATTTTTCTGTAGATATAAACTCAGAAACTAGTACTCAATGTATAAGACAGTACATTGCAGTTTAAACTTCAGTTCTTGTTTCTGCTTCATGCTTAGTGCTAAACCACTTTTATTATGCCCTATTATTACATGCCAACTATAGTAAGACCCTGAGGCAGAGCTGCCAGTGAAACCTTTGCTAACAGTCCCTGCGGTGGCAGCAGCTCCGGTCTACAATCAGTCAAAAGCAAGTCATGCCATTTCTTCCTTCTGATGGATGCTTTTCTGTACCTCTTTGGTCACTAAAGCATGACTACAAACTGGAGACAAGCAAAGGAGTCTTTAACCTGAGCAAAATGTGATGCAACATCTATGTCTACATTTTGATAACATATAAACAAAGGGAAATAGTCTTAGTCCAAACTCAATTTCAGACTTTGAAATATGGAGTCAAGCATTAATTGTCAAAGGTTATCAAACATTAGCAAGCTTACTGTATTAAAGTTACTTTTACACGTAATTTTGACTGTGTTGGCTTTGCTTAAAAAGCAAACTTCTCCACTAGACTTTTTTTTTTTTTTTACAAGAGGTGCACCAATCTAAAATTTGTGGCTGTTTATGAAGATTTTAGACAATTTAAATTTCTCATCAAGGACTGTAATTAGGTTCAAAATGTTTCTCTCTAGCCCTCCTGCACTGAGTTCATTAACAGAAACAGAGGCAACATCATTTGCAAGAGTGGTTGCCAAATTGCAATTATTTTCAAACAAAGAGAAAATGGATTCCATAATTGACAATTTAAGCAGCCTTTAGCTTCTTAAAAACTGTGCATTAAGCATTAACTCGGTTCTTTTTCCTGCAAAATACAGATATTTACTTTAACTACTGTCCTAAAGGCTGCCAACATTTCCAAATTCTTCTTATCCTGGCATATAAAGTTAGGAAACTCAATAAGAAAAAGAGGGGGACTAAGATGGAAAATGTCTTTTTGTTATTTACTAAGATTGGCTTTAAGTTAATTTTGTTTTCTCAGTTTCATTTAAAAAAGTCTTAAAGCAACATGCAAAATTTGGTTTCTACTTTTATTTTTCTTTTGGTTTGTTTTTTTTCCTGAAAAAGCTGGGTAATTAAATCAACACATTCACTAAATAGCAACACCCTATTAAGTTTAGCTTTTGTTGAGGAAGAGCTGACATCCCTCCTTAGAAAATGCTTTTTCCTTTTGAAGTAGCATCTTGCAGCTTTTGTACTTCCCATGAATAGTTTTCTAGTCTTTAAGAAATTAACTCTGTGTCCTTCACTCAGAAATAGTCTGCACACCAAAGAATGTTGTCAAAATGGCCTGGTTATTTTTCTGTTGTTTTTTTTTTGTTGTTGTTGCATATAGACCAGGAATCAATATGAACACTCAAAGAAAAAAGTGAATTTTTGAGTATGATTTAAGGTGAACCGGAAAATCCTCGTCTTTTATGTTTTTTTTACTCCTTTAAAAACGGATATTGACTTATTTTCTTCTCAGACATTGAACATCTTCAGTGGACCCAGATACTAAAAGATGCCCATATGGCCATTGATGCTAATCTGCAGTGGGAGTGCAAAGCAATTGGTAAACCTAAACCTAGATATCGATGGTTAAAAAATGGTCATCCACTGACAGTGAAGGTAAGACACAAAAAAGAATGTAACGCTTTGTTTAAAAAAACGTAAATGCATTTTTTTCCCCTGTACTTCATGCTGAAGACAGAAGCAGCTACTGTACACCCTCCCTATGTGTTTTTTTCAGGAGAGAGTTCATGTTGAAGCTGGCAAACTGACAATTTCCACAATTAGATTGTCAGACTCTGGGATGTATCAATGTGTGGCAGAGAATGAATATGGATCTCTGTATGCAAGTGCAGAGCTTAAGGTTGTAGGTAAGTTCAATTGACTGTGATCTACAATCAAGATGCAAGCAATGTTGCCAGTGGAGGGATGGAGCCTCATTGTACATAGAACCATGAGAGCAAAATAGATAGGCTCTTTACATAGCCTAGGCCTCTTTTTTTTTTTTTTTCCTAAAATCACTTCTGATAACCAACAATCTGTTGGTGAAATGAAATGTCTATAATTGCTGGTGACACACTTGACATTTTGGCTGGTGCACAGTTGTTTGCCTGCTACAAAGCGAGACAATTGGCCTCAACACACTTTTTTTTTACAGCCTTGCCTCCTGACTTTACCCACCGGCCTGTGAAAAAGTCCACTGTTATCCAGAGAGGGGGAGAGGTGGTGTTAGAGTGTAGGCCAAATGCTTCACCCAGAGCCATGATTTCCTGGTGGAGAAGAGGCAAGCTTCTGAGGAATAGTAAGAGGTAGGGTAATCTCAGAAGACTTGCACGTTTATTATAGAACCATAATATATAGATCTATCCACAACAACAATACGTAAACTATTAATAAATCAATGATTTTCTGTGCTTGCATGTGTTCCTTTATATATAGATATAGAGTCTTTATTCTTCTACTTTAGTCTATATATATATATATATAAAGACTTAAGTAGAAGAATGAACATTTTTGAAAATCTGCAGTGGAAATAGTCTGACAAGGTTACAAAACTATTTCCAAGTATTAAATATGTTCAACCTGAGTTTATGCTTCTCTAAAACTATCCTCATATGTGTGTAATCTCATAACCTAGATCTGTTATCCCTGTACTTGTCCACAAATAGAACATACATCAGGCAGAATATAAAGCAGAGTCTGCTCATATTATGACTTACTTATAAGAGCAGGTAATGCACAATTCTGGATCCACAAGAATTAAAGGAATCTAGACTTTTGTATCTTTTTGGGAATAATAGGAACCTCATTTGTGTTGAATTAAAAGAAGGTTTAATAAAAAAAAATGTATGTATGTTTGATCTTAATTTCCAATGGAAGCTTAGCAAATTTTAGATTTGTTAACTGAGACGACCTTTTAAGAAACTTTTTTGTCCAGTAAACCAGATGAAAGCCTGTTGAACATTGAAGAACTATCTCCTTTCTTACATCAAAATAAAAACCTCAAAAATAGAAACAGGATGTCAAGCATGAAGCACACATTCTCATATCATTAACTCATAATCAGGGAATTGTATCGCTTTACCAAATATTTGTACTGATAGCAATATATATTATATGGAGCTACTGCTTATTTAATATTGCATATATTATAATCCTTGTATGCTATTTATAAATTGAACGAAGCGCACTGAGTAGTGTTGTCCTTTCTAAAACTAGTGCTCTGTCCATCTTTCCATTCATCCTTTACATTGAGGATTACATTGAAAACCCAAATTGTCGTTTATCCATTTTCTATTAAACATCCTTTTTCAATAATAGGTTCAAATATACAGCATGTTGTGGTTGTGGGGCAAAAGCATATCTCAAATTAATTGTAATTGTGAAGCCCATGACTGAATCTTGAAGGTAATCCTGACCTGTTGCTACAATTTTTAAACTGGTAAGAATTACCTGTAAGCTACTAGGAAACAGTCATTTATTCCAATGCACCTTTAGAAAAATATTTAAATTTGAAAAATAAAAGGTAGAGACTGTGGTTTCTTCTGTTAATTCATTGATAAAAAAATGGTCATTTGCAAAATTCTGCAATTTTTTTGGCTTTCAGTTCTCATAAAGGTACAACAACAAAAAAAACTTGTAATTACTAAGTTGGCAACTCAGTTTTTTTTTGTTTTTTTTTCCTGACTGACACGACTCTCTTTTACCAAATACCCTGATCACTTTTAAGGATTCAATATTGAGCTGTTCCAGAGATCCTCTGATGGGCCTTGTGGTTGCTCACTGTCTTACTACTCAATATGATTTCAAAATCAGTTAATTCAGTCTGGGATTTTAGAAACAACATTCCCAGTAAGGCTGCCAAGATTTTTCCTCTTTGGCCCTTGTTTTTTTTTCTTTTCGAATGTTAGATGTTCTTGCAGCTTCAAGTATTTTTTTTTTCTGAATTCATCTTTGATAATAAGTTAAATTTGTGAGAAATATTTACTTATCATGCAAATAATCCCACACAATAAGACGCAAAACATTGACCAATCAAGATAAGCATCTCACCTAAAAAATCTCCAAGTCCTTCTGATGTTTCTGTACCCATATCCCATCATTGGGTGAGAGGCGTGCCTATAGAGTGGCCATCTTGGGTCAGACCAAGCTGCTGTAAGAGACAATACAAGTCTACTGCGTCTAACCCTGCTTTATGACTTGAGACGCTCTGAATTTGGTGAACTCTAAACTGATTTCTAGATAAATTTGCTGACTGAAACCAAGAATGTTTCATGAGTTACATGGGGCCAACTACATAATTTTGATTATGCATTGACAGTTAGCAAATTTCCAGAGCTAATTCTCAGGATGCCAGACTTCTATGCCGCCTATAATGTTACAGTTTGTCTGGTATTTAAACAAGATGATGAGTAGCAGGGATGAAAAAAGAGAAGAATGCTTACATTTAAAATTGCATAACATAACATAACTGCACTCCACATCGCCTACCTTGGTAGGCGATGTGGAGTGCAGTTCCCAGCTGGCATCAATGAAGTGTACAGTAACGCTGAGGTAGTTATCATTATTGACAGACGTCCAGTTGTTCCCCTTCAGTGCTAAACACGTTGCCTCACTTTCTCCGTGGCATGCTGGTCATGTATTCTCCTCATGATACTTGCAGGTAGTTTGTAAGATGTGCCACCTGTGGCTGCCTGGAGAACAAGCTTGAGCCCATCATCTTCAACCACACTGATGGGCATTCTTAAAAATAAATTTTCCCTTAAGCAAACTCTGTGGCTTTATAGCTGCATCCATGTTAGCACGTCAAGATCCATGTGTTAACAGTGGGCCTACACACAAGACTGATTAATTCTCACCCCCAGATATACATCCAGGCCAGATCCAAAACTAACTGTGAAATAGAAAAAACAGTGATATTTTTTCTATCGCCCAATAAGAGTCTGCCGTTAACAATAACGCTGATAACCGGCCACCACTAAAATATATATATATATATATATATGATAATGTTATTATCAGGAGTATCATTTATCAGTGGTTTGCCACTTTTAAATTCTTTTTTGTAACACCCAATGAAATAGGGCAGAATGCAAAATATTAGATATTTTTGTATGGCACATGTAGTGCCATAAGAAATATTCTGCTTTTGCTTCTATTATAATTTATAAATCTGATGCAATATATCAATGTTGTCTATATTTTCTTGTTTTTTGTTTTTTTTTTACTTTTCTCCGATTTTGTATTCTTAAAATGTCTTGGTTTCATGAAAATGTCTGCATGTTGGGGTTTGCCATTAGAGCCAGTAGATATGATAAATCCTTTTTGTTAAGAGCAAAGACCTGTTTAAAGTTACTGCAACAAAGAAGGGCGCCTCAGGATTCATCAGTCAAAGTCAAAATTAGTTGATTGATGAAAAGAGAAATAAATGACTGCTTTCCATTTTTCTTACTGCTGGCAATTCACAGAGCAATGTGAAGAGCCTTGGAATCGATGGAAAACAGTCCAAATCAAGAGGCAAGTGAGAAGCTTGAAAAGTTCTGTCGGAAACCTTTCCCATAGCCATTAAATTTAAAAGCAAAACACATTTATCTTTATCAGTAGGAAAAAATGTCACCATACTCTCTTCAAAAATCTAAACATAGTTTTTGTTCTGACAAACTGAAAAATATATATTTTTACTTGAACGTAATATAATAGTCCATTAGCAAGACGTTAAGGACAGAAACTTAAATTCATATATCAGATTAGCAACCTATATCACCATCAAATGCTGATTAGATGCCATGATTAGTGCACAAATTTGACTGCCCACAATAAAAGGCCGCTCTGATAGGTACAGTTTTGTTTTATTTTTAATTTTTTTGTATTTCTGCTCAGGAAATACAGGAGGTTTAGGAGCTGTTAAGCTGCGGTGTGTAGATGTTGACAAAACAAGAAAGCAAAAATAGGCCATATGAGACGCAACTCCAAGCAACTGCCTGGCTTGCCTGTCCACAAGCCCCATCCTTTCCCACACATACGTAAACACAATGAAAGATACAGGGTTTTGTTTGCATTCTTTTTAATCTTTGGGTTTTCGGGATAGTAGCCAGTCTTATCGTGTCAAAAGGCTCCAGTCCATGTAGTTATTTATGAGAAAATCCAAGTCAAATTGCAAGTCACTTCACATTCTGTGAAGCTGAGTCTAAAGTCATCAAAGTCATTATTTGTTATCCAATAAATGGACATTGGCTAAAGAGAGAGCAGGAATCAGTGGCTTCTTAGCCTTTAGCTGGGCCAACATACCACCTGCTTCTCCCTCTTCTGTTTTCGGGCACAATATTTTCTCTTGGATGATGCTTCCTGACTCTTTCCCGCAGTTCAATTTCCTCTGGAGATACTGATTTCAGCTAAGGTGATAGAGTAAAAACCAAGTTGTCTCTGATGTCCATCAGTTCGGTTGAGCTGTTCTTCAGGCGTGAATTTAGCACTGCCCTAGTGGCCTCAAAATAAACAAAAATAAGGCTTAATCCAAGGAGCCGGAGAAGTCCTATGTTCCTCTGTGCAGTTCCATGGAAACAATAATAGAAATAAAAATAATCAGCTTGCTAGAGGAGCTGCTGCTTAGCAAAGGCTCTGCCCCTCCCTGCCACTGGCAGAGAAATATGCCTATGCTGTCCCCAGTTCCTACTTACTTCTATGAAACAAAAGCTTGGAATAACTTGATTTCTCAATCAATTTTATTATCTTGTTATGCATATTAACTTATAATAATTTTGTAAAAAAAATGCTTCCTTGCTAGAAAAAAAAAGAAAATCAAGTATAACTCTTATCTACTGTAAATAGAGTCGAACCTGCAACACCTAAAGCAAATATGATGATGATCTAAAAGGTCATTAAATGTTTGCATAAATTATTTTAATGTATAAAGTGTATCACTCTTTAACAAACCCTGGCATCTAAATGTTCAAACTGTACTTCTTCAAACTGTGACTTTAAGAGCCAAAGGTTCATTGCAAAGCATCTATGGAACAATAGGAAGTACAGTTTCACCTTTCTTTTACAAGCTTTGAGAGACTAAGGATTAAGCAGCCATGTCCTGAAGTGCCCATAATTTGAAAACCTACAATTTGCTGATGCATCTCCAGAGATGTCAAATTACGAAGTACAAATACTTTGTTAGTGTACTTAAGTGCACTTTTTAGGTATCTGTACTTTAAGCCCGGTTTACACTGTTCGATTTTCGGGACGTTTTTTCAATTGTGTGAGAATTTTTCGATCGGCCCGACTTTCAGCGGAGCGTGTGGCATGAGTTGTGTAGTGTACA